TTAGAAAACTGCTTTCCCCACTGCTTGGCTCAGGCTCTGCAGTACTGCCAACCAAAAAGAAAGCACCACAACAGCAGACACACACAAATACAAGATTTAACTGCAACTGCAGCCTTCCTCAAGGAAAGCAACAGTATATGGTCTGCTTGTTTGCCATGGAAATGGTCCCTGTGCTAGGCAAGAGCTCCAGCAAAGCAGAACAGCATCCTGCTCTTGGCCAGGGGCTTCCTCCAGCCTTTGGGGTGAATGCAGTGGTAAACAACCAGTCCTTCTAGCTGCCAAAGGACAGCAGAGGCACACAAAGCGCACCACGCTCATAGTCTCTTAGGGCAAATAAACACAGCAGCCAATACTTACAGTCTGCATCTGCACACACAATGCAGGGGTTTTTCCCTCCAAGCTCCAATGTCACCCTTTTGAGGTTGCTTTTAGAAGCAGCTTCTTTGATCAGTTTTCCAACCTGTAGCATTGAGACACAAAGAGGTCATGAGCTGTGTCCCCTGAATGTCTTAATTCAGTGTGTAAAGTGTGATGCTAACAAGGGTAGAACAGCCTGGTGAGTGGCTGAAGCAGGTAGAAGTCAGGGATAGCATTCTTAAATGGTCTGAGTTTCCTACTGATGCGATGTGTTAGGTCAAAACCAGCCCCAGAATTAACGTCCGTTTTAGGCAGATCTGAAAGGATGGGCTACATGGGAGAGCTACAGGAATTGTATCCTGAAGTTATCTGCTACCCAGAACTGCAGAACAAGGCATTTCCCACCCAGTGCAGGCTAGTGAGCAACAATAGCAATCAATGGGGGTCCAAGGTTTATGAGTTTTACTTTTAAAAATTGGGAATTCAACATCTTAGAGCAGATCTTGCCAAGGCAGTGTTCCTACCAGTTAGCACTCCCATACCGGAAAGCCACGTAGATATTTTTATATTTAGGATAAAACTACTTCTTTCTGACAGTTTAGGCTGAGCTGCTCCACAGACAAGAGTAGCTGAGACTTGTTCCTTCCAAGGCAGTACCTGAGGCTGTCAACAGACAAACTCTATTTAGCTCTGCTGTGGCACTTTCTGCCCAGGAACCTGCTCTGGCGATCGGGTGGAATTTATCTGGCCACTCTTTTCTGAAGGGAAGGATTTGTTCTGCTTCCAGAATTTAATCAAAGTAATGTCAAACTAAGGGTTTTTTCCACCACAGAAAAATTGTTTCATACCAAAAGTTTTTCCCAAATTCTGACTGACTGTGCTATTTCTTTTTTATACTGGTAACACCAAACCAGCAATTTCTCTTCTCATTTAAAAGAAAAAGAATTCCTCACAAGAGAAGCATTAATCAAATGTCAGGATCATTTAGTAACCTAATTTTGTTAGAAAAAGTATGAGTTAAAACTGTTTAGGAGCTTCAATGGTTTAGGCAGGCTATTTTTTTTAAGTGTGACCTTATATTTGAATTTCCTCATTTTCTAAACGGTTTTCTTGTATTTTACCTTTGCACACAGCAACCTTAACTTCATTTTGGCCTAAAAATACTGTTGCTCTGGAGTGGAGCTGTGAGCAAGGAAAGCATGTGGCAGCTAACTGGCAGTTATAGGTCTGTATTTCTCACAGTTTGCCTTTGTAACTCGAGCAAGACTCATGAAGCTAGCAGTACAGATCATCTCTAGTCACTCAGCAACCTAGTGCTAGGGACAGCAGAAATAAGCAAAGCATCCTGCTGCAGACACACACAGCTTCGCAAAAGGCATTACTACAGGCTAGCTGGTGAAAGAGAAGTTAATAAACTCAGGGAAAGCAAGAAATCTAGATGGGAAAATTCTTGTGGAGTTTAAGATTAGTATTTCCAGGCTGGCATTGAGCCCAAGCTGGGGCTTAAAAACTAAGTAAAAATGTATTTTGAATTAGGTTCACTTCCTGGCTCAGAAACAGTAGCATTATGCTGCAAATACTGCAGGGATGCAGCTGAACTCACAGATGGGTGGAGGGGGAAGAAAACACTTCTAAATTACACATGCATTAGCAAAGAATCTGTCTCCCTCGGTGTTTCCTGCACACCCATGGATTAGGAAGACAAGCACAGCGTCCACAGGAGTTTTTTGCCTACAGGCTCCAGCAGCTGAGGTTATCCTTCTGCCCCTAATCCACTGGATAGTCCTTTTTCATTAAAAACCCAAACAGACCCATGTGGGCTGGATGAGTCTATAAACTTGATTGTTTTCACACAGCCAGCATCTAATCTAGGCTAAAAGTTTCTGATCTAGGATTTGGAGGGAAGCATATATCTGGGTAAACTCCCAGATTAGACCAACTATCAAGAGAGTAAAAGCTTACTGCGAACTTTTGCTTTATTGCATTTGTGTTTGTTCCCATGATCCCTACAGAGAAACGGAGGCTTAACACACCTTCTCCTATGGGAGAAGCGACGCAGTTAGCATGTACACAAAGCCACTAGATGGTACTGTTGTTAAATTCAGCAGCTTTAGTTACCTTTACAGATCAAGAATACCATTCAAGGTAATTTGTCATCATTATGCAATTAGATTACACTCTGCAATTACGAGGATAGATATAGGAATGGATGAATTTGGCAAATGCTCAGCAAGAATAAATGTTACTCAAGGAAATAAAAATGAAGAGACTATATTTGCCTCAGCTGCACCCACTGGTGTCAGCATTTCCATTCTTTGGATGCTGCCCCTCTACAGGGGGTGCATATATATCACAAGAAAAATCTAGAGCAATGAGTGGAAAAACATTCACATTTCTAAGCAAGCTTTGCAGCAGTGATTACGGAAGATGAGTTGTTTGTGTGCCACAGCTGTGCTCAATTCTGTGGACTAGGCCAAGCCATGAGCGCCTCTTCCCCACGTAGGTTCAGAAGAGGATGGCTGTAGGTGTCTGACAGCGTAGAAGTCCCACTTCCACCCCTCTCCTAAGCAAGGCAGCCATAGCTATTTACAGGAAAAAACTGAATAGAAGGTGCCTTACTGTGCAGGTCTCAAAAGAAGCTCAAATGTTAACCTCATCCACGTCAGCAGAGGAAGCCTTGGGCACAGGGCCATGTTTTTATTTAAGTCCTAGTTCCTCAGAGGTAACTAAAGCCGAGGAAGAATTGTTCAGGGCTCTGACTGACATGTTTTCCAGTTGCACGCGCTTGCAGGGCAGGACTGGCAGGCAAACTTGCCCAGAAGCTCCATCAGGTCAATGACTTGATGTTAAGTCACTGCCAGCCTCCCCTGTAGACTGTCCTACCTTATGTCAGATCATCTATTACTTACAGTTTCACAGAAATGTAGTGGTTTGGCAAAACCCATCTAACAGACATGTGGGATTATCACAAGCACAAGGACCTGAATTAGACAAATCCCAAACACTTGTGAGAAATCCTGTCACATGGAATGGGATGGAAAATGGTGTTGGCTATACAGAAATCACCGATATTTCATTGGTCCAGTCTTATGTGGATGACAGTTTTAGAAGAGAATGCAAAGAGGAACAGCAGGTATTTTATGAGAAATCCATCACCTACCTTCGTTGATCCAGTAAAAGCAATTTTATCAATGCTGTGATGGGTAGAAATAGCAGCTCCAGCTGTAGGGCCATAGCCTGGCACAATGTTCACCACACCTGGAGGGAAACCCACCTAAAACAGAGGTTAAATACAGCTCTGTAGAGAGAGATTTTGAGCACTCTGGAGCTGGTCTGCACTCAGTTGCAGACAAGGAGCTCATATCAGATACAACACTGTTTTCCAGACTTTACAGTAACATGGCTGCATGCTACCAGCTGGAGTAGACGTGGGTGAAAGTAACAGCCATGCTTAGGAAATGCCAAGTTTCAGTAAGAATTCTTGGAGGAGTCCCAGTTTCAAGTCAGAGAGTGAGTCTTTTGGCCAAACTTGGCCCACAGCTACTGCTGTGCAGCTGGAGCCAAAGGGTAACTGAATGAAAGTTTGTTTTGAACAAAGGTTGACATTTGTGGTTCTTCAGGGGCCAGAGGGATTAAGAAGTCAGTAAAACCTCACTAGATGATGGGGCTAATAAAACAGGAATACAAGAGCAGATGGTAACAGACTTATGCCAGTTTCCACCACATTTACAACCTAGATTAGCCAACTAGTAATTTTGCCAAAAGAGACAAATGGCAAAACTTTAGGTTAAATTCTAGTGTGAGGAGAAGTGCGGGATTTACTGGTCTGTTTTTACTTCCTGATACAGGAGTTTCAAGGATTATACTCTTCCAGGCTAGTCCCCCCACACTATTGGTTGCACAAGGTTGTTTTCCCTGCATTTTGTAACAATGGAATTGCAGGATATTAAGTGTTCACTTCATTTCTTGTGGCTCTTTAATATGAAATCTCAATAAATGCAGTTGCTCCTTCCTAATACAGAAAAAACGGTAGTAATTGCTCATGTTCTATCTTGCAAAAAATTATCTTCAGAATTTTTTTCTTTTTTTTTTTCTTTTTTCCATAAATCAGGAGGGCAGTTTGATTCTTCTGTGGATGTGACAATGATAAAAGTGAGTTTAATAGAGTTTGCGTCTTGGCTAATGAGTTTTCAAGAAAATACTGCATGTCAAACTGTGCAAGTAATGGTGTTTGGAGTCAGCAGCAAAGCCACAAGGAAACAAAAAATTGGTTCAGGCCACCCTAAGCCAAAAAGTTTTTTCTGTTTTTCAGCAAAAATGGAAGCCAAAATATTTTGGTTGGCCCAAAATTATTTCATTGAACCTAACACATAGCTTGCTTTGCCTGTGTACTAACATCTTCTGCATGATTTTAAAGATAAAAAAAAAAAAAAAGTTTCACTTATTCTTCTGAAAACCTGCAAAGAATTTAGATCATTTTGAGTGGAGAAAGGAGAATCTTCAAATAAAATTATTCTGCTTTAATTAGACTTCTGACTTGAAGGGCAACTAAAAACAGGCAGTTTAGCATTTCAGCTAAAAAATTAATTCCATCAGAATAGAATGGCTTTTTTGGGGAAATGCTACACCTGTGTTTGGGGAGCTATATGTCAGAGTGAAAAAAGCAGTGATGTGGCAGGGCTAACTAGAAGTCATAAAAACTGCACCCTGTGCTCACTCGCCTTGTGTAATCTTATTAAGTCAATTAACTGCAGGAGATTCTTAACTGGGAGTATTTTTGCACTGCCTTTCCTGATGGAGGAGCCTTAAGTGTCAATTATTAAGGTATTCTTCTATTTTCTCCCAGGCTAAGCCAAGAACAGACAAAATCATCATTATCATTAGACTGAACCTAACAAACTTTTCCAGCTGAGAGGCAATAGCATATCTATAACCCTTCTAGTTTTCCTCACAGTTAGTCACATATATAGATACAGGAAGCTGACATACTAAACAGTCCTAGAAGGTACTGTGCACCTCCCACCACCTCTGTATGATTAATAGATCTGAGGGCGCCTGAGATCCTACCTGACAAGCCCTAAACCAACATTTTGAAATCCCAACCTATGATCTTCCCTTTATATCAGTATCAAGTTGACTTTAAAGGCCAGACGTAGCTAAATTGTTCTACGAACTGCAGAAGTTATGAAGAATTGTTTCCCATGGCACTCTATCTTGGTTGAATTATCCCCCTTAAAAATGGTACAAACTCAACCCTGCTGACTAATCACACTCTGTTTTGTCCCATTGTCTAATAAAACTGAGCTGTAGTCTTTCCCTCATTTCGGAGAGGGGAAGACAAGGCAGAAGAATAAAAGCACCATTTTTTTCTCTCTGCAGCTTCCTGAGAAAGAAGAAAAACCTACAGATTGCGTGATCTTTTCTATCTCCCAGTCATGGCAGTGCAAAGTCACCTTTGCCACTGCCAGTCATAAAGGCCTTTGTATGAAAAGACTGAAGACAGAGGTTGTTCTCACTTTCCTCTTTAACATCTTTAAAACCTAAAATCCCACACAGCCAATTCAAAACACATTCTTGCTTAAGACCTTAAAAGAACAGTACCTAGAGGGGATATTCAGATTTCCTTACCTCCTTAATCAGCGAGCCAATGTACAGCGACGTGAGAGGAGTTTGTTCAGCTGGCTTAATAACCAAAGTGTTTCCACAGCACAGTGCTGGTGCCATCTTCCAAACCAGCATTAGCAATGGGAAATTCCACTGGAAGAACACAAGGCTGGTCAGAATCAGCCCAGCAGAGTCACTACTCACTTCCACGCAGCATTTTCCCCACCTTCACACAGCTCAGGGAGAAAGAAGCAACCAGGAGGACAGCCACAAAGAGAAGCGGCTGCTTACAATACTGCATTTGCTTAGACCACGGAGTATAACTTCCTTGATTTCCCCCTGAGATCCCTAAATATTGCTGGCAGTCCTCAAGCTAATCCTGTAAGTTGAACAAACCTCTGCATGATGTGACCTCATTCTTTACAGGAGTTTGATCACACTTTGTATAGATTTTGGCTGTTCACAGAAATTGTGTTGGAAGCAGTGTCCTGATGCAGCTTTTGTACAGCGTTCTTACGTGCGGGAATTACAGGGTGCAACTGCTCATTGGAAAAACCTCATTTTCTGTGTTAGGTATTGGCTGAGTAATTAGGAATTATACAATATAATTTGATTCCAAGTTTATAACTAGGAAACTGCAGTGGGTTGTTCAGTCATTCAGTCATGGAAATCCAGGGGAGGTCTTATACTCCCTTCAAATTGTGAATTGCTCCTTTCCAATTAGTTTTCTTATTTGGAATTAGGAACCAGTCCACATCAGTTTCCTCTGTGCTAATCTCTTTCATGGTCATGTGTATTTGTAGATCTTGGAGCCTAAGCAAGAAGTGGAAAATCTAGTTCACACTGAATCTCAGAAAGGTCATTTGGCAGCAGAAGGGATTTCTTCATTAAAAATAATTAATGCCGCTTTAGGGATGATGGAAACAGGCCAACAGTAAGGGGACTTCTTGTCAAGATTCAAGCCAAGGGCCTTCAGCTATCAACAAAGAAGCCAAATATGTTAGGAATCCATAAATTCACACTTACAAATAAATTAGCAGTGTAGCTTTTAAGAGATGAGTTCTTTCTAACTCAGCAGCCCTGAGACAAAGCAGAATTTAGTCTAATGTGCTATTCTTCAACTTGCTTCTCCCTCCCTTCCCAGACCTGTTTCGTTTCAGTGATCTTCTCCAATGGCCACATCCCATCATTTGCCCATTTGTCTTTTTCTCCTAAGCCTTCTTGAAGGCCTGATTTTGCAGCTTGAGCCATCCACACTTAAGCTACTTTTCTACACTTTCAGAGCATGACATAACTCCATTAAGAGCTTTCCATTGCAGAATGGCTGGTGAAAGTAACAGTAAAGGACTCCAGGGCTGCCTCATGACATCACCTTGGGATAAAGCTGTCATGTGCTGCACTTTCTAAGAACTTCCCTCGCTAAGAATGTTGGTTTAAATATAGTCAAGCCACAGGAAAAAGGGAGGATTGTTAATTTGTCTAGGAAGACATATGCAGAATAGTGACAGAATCTCTTCAAATCAAGTAGGACTATACAAACTCACAGGTGTTAAGAGATCAAACTGGAAAAAAACAGAAGGCAATTTGTTCTAAGTAAACTGAAGACAGATTGTTGACCCCAGTCAACCTTTTCACAAACACAGGACTGAACTTGAGTCAGATTTGGTTCTGTACTTTCTATTGTATTTATTGCTGATGTAGGGTCAACGTAAAATATTGGAAGTCCCACTATGTCCCCTTATAGTGGCCCTCCAAAGCATCCTACCTGTAGGCTTTTAAAGGGACAGTTTCCAAAAGCTTTGCTGAGTGCTAAAGGTGGCTGAAGTGTGACCAGGAGATATCTTTTAATTGGCGATCAATGTAAGAAACCTGATATTTTGATCTTAAGTCACAAATTCTAGTTGCTCCCAAGCAGTCACATTGCTTGTTCAGCCAGAAAAGCTGTGAAGTCATCAAGCCAAACGTCTGATAACTAGTACCAACCATCTCCCACTTTGCCACACCCTGACATTGCTAAATAGACTGTAGTATCTTATCACCTGGGATATAAGCTCAGTCCTGC